TAGTAAGGTAGGATTTGAAATATGCAAGCGCATGGCCTCTTATACCATAATGGTCAAGTTTGTGGAGTAGGATACCGTGGTCTACTGTGTCAAAAGCTTTTCTTAGGTCAATAAAAATTCCTAGCAGATATTCCTTATTTTCCAATGCTGTGTAAAGCAGATCTAGCATTTTTACAATTGCATCATTAGTGCTTTTATTTTTCCTGAATCCAAATTGGCAGGGGTTGAGTATGTTTTGTGCCGTTATAAATGAATACAGTCTCCTGTGCACGAGTTTCTCGAAGATTTTGGATAGCAATGGTAAGTTTGATATTGGCCTATAGTTGTAGGGTCACCACCTTTATGTATTGGTGTAACCCTTGCTGTCTTGAGTAGTTTCGGGAAGGTGCTAATTTCTAGTGACTTGTTAAAAAGTAATGAAATAGCATGCAAAAGGACATGGGCCGCTCGCTTGTACAATAATGGTGGGACATGAGACAGGTTCCCCGAGTTATTTTAAAGTGACTTTATAATCTCAGTGACTTTGGTGGGTTCAGTTGGAACAAGATAGAAGGAATTTGGGAAATTCCCATCTAGATAGTCCCCGGCATGGGCATTGGTATGTGGGATTTTACTGGCAAGATTAGATCCTATGGTTGAAAAGAAGTCGTTTATCTTGTTAGCTGTTTCAGTGGGATGCAGTGGTGTTTCATTAGGTTTAGTTAGGACAATATTCTTGTTTTTTTTCAGTTTGTGGGTGCCCTGAATCTGAGAGAGTGTTTTCCAGGTCCTTTTTATGTCTCTTCTTGTGTCAGTGAATCTGCTGGAGTAGTACAGCTGTTTGGCTTTCTTTATTACTTTGGTGAGAACTGGTGAATAGTGTTTAAGAATATCTTTATGTATTAAGCCCTGTCTATATTGCTTTTCATATTGGTGTTTTTTATCAATGGATTTCAGAATGCTGCTGGTTAGCCATGGGCAACCGAGCCATTTATTCATGATCTCTTTCATTTTTATAGGACAATGTTTGTTGTACAGTCTAAGTAATTTGTTAAGAAAAATGTCTGTCCAATTGTCAATACCACTGGCCTTGGAGAATTCTGTAGCAAAGGTTGGTTTGAGAGATTTAGGAATCATAGTGGCATACACAATGTATTAAGGCATGGTGAGTCCACCAGTTTGGACCAAAAAGCGGCTGAAAAATATGTGCAGGAATTCAAGGAGTATATAAACACTGAAAAATTAAAACCCCAACGAGTGTTTAATTGTGATGAAACAGGCCTGTTTTGGAAGAAAATGCCAAACAGGACCTACATTACACAGGAGGAAAAAACACTGCCAGGACACAAGCCTATGAAAGACAGGCTAACTCTCATGTTGTGTAGTAATGCTAGTGGGGATTGTAAAGTGAAGCCTCTACCCGTGTATCACTCTGAAACTCCCAGTGTTTTCAAGAATTTCGGGGGACCTGAGTTTTATCAAAGTCAAGTTCTTGCCTCCTAATACCACTCCTCTCCTCCAGCCCATGGACCAGCAGGTCATTTCAAATTTCAAAAAACTGTACACCATAGCAATGTTTCAAAAGTGCTTTGAAGTGACCTCAGACACTCAACTGACCCTAAGAGACTTTTGGAAAGATCACTTTAGTATCCTCAGTTGCATAAACCTTATAGGTAAGGCTTGGGAGGGAATGACTAACAGGGCCTTGAACTCTGCTTGGAGAAAATTGTGGCCAGAATGTGTACAAGAGAGATTTTGAAGGGTTTGGGGCTAACCCTCAGGAACCTATGCCAATTGTGGAATCTATTGTGGCATTGGAAAAGTCCATGAGGTTGGAAGTTAGTGGGGAGGATGTGGAAGAGTTGGTGGAGGACGACGATGAAGAACTAACCACTGATGAGCTGCAAGAGCATCTGCAACAGAAAGAGGCCACAACTGAGGAAATTGTTTCAGAGGAGTGGAGAGAGAAATTGAGGAAGTTGCCTTCTTCAAAGATTAAGGAAATTTGGGGGCTTTAAACAATCAGAAAAATAATCTTAACACTTTCATAAGAAAAAATAACTTTTTTTTTTTTGAATATTTTTCGACACCAGGAGACACTTCAGGATTTGGGGTTTCGACAGTCAAAGGGTTAATGAAGCGTCAGTTCATATAACTGAAAAAAATGAGGTCAATACACAAGCTTGTGTAATGAATAACCCAGGATGTCATCTCATGAAAAGAATGACACATAGATCACAAGTAAATAAAACTGAAAACTTGTTGCACGAGTGGTGCTACAAACCCAGAAAGAAACAAATAAAGGGAGGTAGTTGACAGACCACTTGGGTGCTGCTACAGTTGTTACCCGGCAGTGCCCTGTGTGACGTCAGCACACCCAATGTAGGAGGCTGCTTAGCCGGCCTCAGAGAATCACATAACATAAGAAGATGAAGAAGAACCTGAAGAAAAACAGTTAACATTGCAGCAGTTACACGAGCAGTCCCATGTTGCTACTAAACTAGCAGACTTTGTCACTGAAGAGGATCCTGACAAATCTAGAAGCAGTGCTTTGAAACGGAGTCTAGACCAGCTGCTGATGCCTTACCGATAGCTGTATAATGTATACTGCAGGGTAAAAGAGCCCAGAGAAACATTACAGAATTTTTGCACACTCCAATACAACCATGAACTTTAGTACCAGAACCTCTACCATCCACTTCTGCCGACAATCAGCAACCATCCACTTCAGCCCAGTAGGGCCAAACCTTTCATCTCCACTCTCTTCACAATCATCCACAAACACCAGTAACCACAATTTAAGGTAAGAAATACTATTATTTCTGTTACATTTGTAGTCTTAAGCAGTAAAAAATAATATATCATGACAATGAACTACAATTACATATTCACTTTTATTTTTGTAAGATCTGTTGGTCTAAAAAAAAGTTATTTGGCTTATTGGGGGCTCCCAGGAACATAACTCTATTTTTCTCATAAGTTCTTCAGTTTATCTAACGCGGTTTTACCTTACACGACGTTTTCAGGAACGTAACTACCATGTAATGTAACAGTCTACTGTATTAAGTAGGTATAGGTCTTAGAAATGTGGGGCGAGTGCAATGTTTAGCAGTAGAAAGGTGATCTTATATACAGCCGCTTTTTACTGTGCTATTACTGGCTTAAGGTGATTTGCTGTAATGGATCCCCAGGCACAAATAACTTAGGTTAAGGATAGATTAGAGAGTAGTATAATATAAGTAGTGGTTTGAGGTATATAGTAACATCTTGTAGAGGATGCTGACTGATTTGGATACTATTGCTGTCAAAGAACAGGCCTAAGAATTTTCTTTTGTTTTGCTTAGCAATGAGAGAACCGTTAACCATATCGTTTAGTTGGACATTTCTAACTCTCTTCCTGAACATTATGTAGAAAGTCTTGTCACTGTTAAACCTGAGTTTATTGGTAGTCATCCAGGTTGATATCTTCAAGAGCTCTTCATTAAGAGTGTTGTTGAGAGAATTTGGATTTGGGTTAGAGATGAAAGTTGTGTCTTCTGCAAAGAGAACAAGTCTAAGCTGCTGAGATTCATTATGAAGAGCATTGATGTGCATGACCAAAAACACAGGGCTGAGGACATTGTCTTGCAGGATGCCTATGTCGACAGGTCGCATTGACGAGGGGATGTGCCCTTGATACAGACATACTGATATCTGTCAGTTAGGTACGACTTTTATGTAAACCTCAAGTTTGAGGTGCAGAAGACTGCCTACTGTATAGAAAGCTTTTCTAACATCAATAAAGAGGCCTAGTAGATATTCATTATTTTCAAGAGCTGTATAAAGGAAGTCTAGCATTTTGATAATTACGTCATTTGTGCTTTTACTTGGTCTGAAACCAAACAGGCAGGGGTTGAGAATACTGAGTATGAGAAAAGAGTATGATCTCTTGTGGATTGATTTTTCAAAATATTTGGATAACAATGGTAAGTTAGATATTGGTCTATAGTTATTTAAATCAGTATACAGTGGACCCCCGCATAACGATCACCTCCGAATGCGACCAATTATGTAAGTGTATTTATGTAAGTGCGTTTGTACGTGTATGTTTGGGGGTCTGAAATGGACTAATCTACTTCACAATATTCCTTATGGGAACAAATTCGGTCAGTACCGGCACCTGAACATACTTCTGGAGTGAAAAAATATCGTTAACCGGGGGTCCACTGTACTGGGGTAACCCTTACTATCTTAAGTACTGTCAGAAAAGTGATGGTTTCTAGTGATTTGTTGGACAATACTGACATGGTTGGTAAGAGCACATGACCTGTTCCTTTGAACAATAGTGGTGGTACTTGTGCAAAGTTTCCTGATGTATTTTGGTGAATTTATAATCAAGGTGACCTCAGTAGGATTATTTGGAGGCAGATAGAGGAAGCTTAGTACATACAAGAAATTCTGCCAGCTAAATTTTATCCTATGGTAGTGAAGAAACTGTAACTTATTGACTGCTTCTACAGGCTGGAAATGTGGTTAACTGGGTTTGGTCATGACAATTTGTCTGGTTTTAATCAACTTCCAAGAACACGTGATTTGAGAGTTTGTTCCATTTTTTTTTTTTTTTTTTTTTTTTCAACAAGTCAGCCGTCTCCCACCGAACATCCCAACATAATACAGTTGTTTGGACAGCCTTATTAGTTTGGTAAGTACTGATGTATAGTTCTTGGTTTCTTACCATATTCTGGAGTTTTATAAAGCTGCCATATAAATCGACAGAGAAATGAGAGCCATTAGCAGGAAATGGTTAACAGATAAAGAAAAATAGATTAAGAATAGGACATAACAACTATGGTAACACGTGAACATTTGCAGGTCAAGAGAGGTATCTTATAATGAAATATTTGAGATTTAGTTTTTCCCACATTCATCATTTTTTTTTCAATTTATGCTTGTGAGAATAAGAGAAATTCTTAAGGAATTAAAGTTGTATTTTAAAAGAGACTGCAGAGTTGTAGATGGCTTCACAAACAAAAATCTCATACCTCTGCACAGTGCTCATTTCCATCTTGATCGTTGGGCTCAGTATAATACCAATTAGTGTAGTCCAAGGGAGTGCCATCCACCCAGTGCCAGTTAGCACCATTGTTGTCATCATGTAGACCTATCCAAGCAAGTTTGTATGCACTAGATAGCACAGCTGGTGTTGAAGCCAGGCAGTGAGTGTTGACAAAGAGCAATAAAGGTATATCACATCAGTAAATGTATCAGTGAAGGTGTTTCATATCAGTAAATGTATCAATGAAGGTATATCACATCAGTAAATGTATCAGTGAAGGTGTTTCACACCAGTAAATGCATCAATGAAGGTATATCACATCAATGAATATATCACTGAAGGTATAACACATTAGTAAATGTATCAATAGAAAGCAAAGGGAGAAAATAAAAGTTTATTATTCTCTATGATATAACACTTTCTCTATCTCCCAGTGTGCTTTGTATTTAGTTTGTTAGATACCAATATTTATACACCCTCCAAGACGTCCTATTTTGCGCCATCCTCTCAAAATGGCCAAGCTATCTCAACAACCCCTTTCAGTAACTCCATGCCTCCTAATTTCCACACTACAAATTCTTCTTCATCTTTCTTTCAACAAAACAGCCGTATCCCACCGAGGCAGGGTGGGATATGGCCCAAAAAGGATAAACAAAAGTTTCTCTTTTTAACTTAAGTAATGTATACAGGAGAAGGTGTTACTAGCCCCTTGTTCCTGGTACTTTAGTTGCCTCTTACAACACGCACGTTCCACTACCATGGGGAAATGGAACAGAATTCTTCCTCAGTAAGTCATGCGTGTCATAAGAGGCGACTAAACCACCGGGAGCAAGGGGCTAGTAACCCCTTCTCCTGTATGCTTGTACATGTATGTGTAGTGTGACCTAAGCATAAGTAGTAAGACATACCTGAAATCTTGCATGTTTCTGAGACAGAAAAAAAAGATACCAGCAATCCTACCATCATGTAAAACAATTACAGGCTTCTGTTTTACATTCACTTGACAAGATGGTAGTACCTCCCTGGGCAGTTGCTGTCTACCAACCTATTACCTACAACACTACAAATTCTCTGCATAATGTTCACACCACACACTGCCCTTAGACACGATGTCTCCACTGCCTCCAGCCTCCTCCTTGCTGCAGCATTAACAACCCGTACTTCACACCCACACAAGAATATTGGTATCACTATACATGTACTCTCATACATTCCCCTCTTTGCCTTCATGGATGACTTTTTTCTTCTTTCTTTCAACACACCGGCCGTATCCCACCGAGGCGGGGTGGCCCAAAAGGAAAAACGAAAGTTTCTCCTTTTACATTAAGTAATATATACAGGAGAAGAGGTTACTAGCCCCTTGCTCCCGGCATTTTAGTTGCCTCCTACAACACGCATGGCTTACCGAGGAAGAATTCTGTTCCACTTCCCCATGGAGGTAAGGAAATAAACAAGAACAAGAACTAGTAAAAAAATATTAGAAAACCCAGAGGGATGTGTATATATATGCTTGTACATGTATGTGTAGTGTGACCTAATTGTAAGTAGAAGTAGCAAGACATACCTGAAATCTTGCATGTTTATGAGACAGAAAAATGGACACCAGCAATCCTACCATGTAAAACAATTACAGGCTTCCGTTTTACACTCACTTGGCAGGACGGTAGTACCTCCCTGGGCAGTTGCTGTCTACCAACCTATTACCTACAACACTACAAATTCTCTGCATAATGTTCACACCACACACTGCCCTTAGACACGATGTCTCCACTGCCTCCAGCCTCCTCCTTGCTGCAGCATTAACAACCCATACTTCACACCCACACAAGAATATTGGTACCACTATACTCTCGTAAATTCCCCTCCTTGCCTTCATGGATGACTTTTTTGTCTTCGCATATACCTCAATGCACAACTTACTTTTGTTTTCCTTTCATCAATTCTATGGTTAACCTTGCCCTTCATAAACCCATCCACTGACAAGTCAACTCCCAAATATCTGAACACATTCACTTTTTCCATACTCCCTCCCTCCAATGTGATATCCAGCTTTTCTTTACCTAAATCATTTGACACCCTCATCACCTTACTCTCATCTACGTTTATTTTCAATTTTTTCTCTTTAGAATCTCCCAAAAGCACAGTATCATCAGCAAAAAGTAACTGTGTCAACTCCCATTTTGTATTTATTTATTTACAGATTAATACATAATCCTAAGATTTTTGTATTGCAATGAAACCATTTTAGAGAGAGGAAAGGTACTTACAAGCCAAGTAGTTATCTTCATCTTCACTTGCTATTGAGACAAGTTCACTGCCCATGTTGTTGTTACAAGCATCATGAGCAGAGTCCCAGTCAGTGGTGGTATCAGAGAAGAAGTAACAGTGATTGTTCCAGTATGACCAGCCCTCGGGACACGTCACTGTCACCAAACAACAAAGTTCAAATACAAATGGAGCTGGATAATATACATTTTATGTAAAGTTCTAAACCCATGTGAATCATTCAGTGCATGCAGAAGGTATGGTTGAATTTAGACAGCTTTGAATGGTTAGGAGTTATAACAGGCAAAAGTGAGAAAATTTATCCCGAACGCCGTGATGTGGATAAAATACTTCGATAATTCTTGAACATATGTGAGTGAGCTGTCTCTGAATTCATGATTTTTTTTTCATTCCATTTTTTGAAGGGACGTATGACCCTTTCAGGCTTAACACATAACTTTATTATTCTAACAATAAGCACATGGAGTGTTACAGGCTCAACCCTCCAATCCCTAATAACAAAATGAATCAACCTATTCTTAAGTGAAAACCTCACCAGAAGCCAGACAGGGGTAAGGATTTTACATATCATATAGTGTATATAATACTTAATATCCTTGGTGGGATACAGTCGGTTTGTTGAAAGAAGAATATTTAATGAAAAGTTAATTAAGTAAAATTTGAAATAAATGCTGGTAAGTGATGGTGACCAACAGCAGCAGACTGACCAGCAGGTGGAGGAGGTGGCTGAGGACCCACGTAGTTTGTCCCTAAAACAATAAAGAAAACATCTTTTAATATATACGGAAACATCTGGACAATGAGTTGACAATGTTATTTTATTAGTTAGTCATTTCTGTGCACATCATAAAATAACCAAAATTTTCTTCTTTCATTTTAGCATCTTACTTATCTACATATTCAAATATAACTCTCTTTCCAAGTGCAAATGTTTTGTTTCTACAGGTAAACAACCTACCTTTTTTCTCACATATAAAAGCAGCACGAAGATCGCAGACATTGTCATTCCACTTGCCAGACTCCAAGTACATTACTGTAAAGTTAAAAATGTTGTGTAAGCTATTTTTCAAGACTCACACCATGAGGAGAGGCAGAGATGAATGTTCCATACATCAAAACAAAAATAAATGAAATGATATCATTGGTACAAAAAAAAAAAAAAATAAGGAAATTGTTTTTCCTTCATATTTTTTAAAGTTATAATGGGGTCTGCAGAGCTTTTGGCATAGATTATTTATGTGTATATGAGTATAGGTATATTTGTGTATAGGTATATGTGTATATAGATAGATTGTAAAAATTATAGAAGAATAAGTTTACTGAGTATACCAGGAAAAGTATACGGTAGGGTTATAATTGAAAAAATTAGAGGTAAGACAGAATGTAGGATTGCGGATGAGCAGGGAGGCTTCAGAGTGGGTAGGGGATGTGTAGATCAAGTGTTTACATTGAAGCATATATGTGAACAGTATTTAGATAAAGGTAGGGAAGTTTTTATTACATTTATGAATTTAAGATTAAGACACATGTGCAACATCTGGGTATCTTTATTGTAGACGTTTCGCCATCCAGTGGCTTTATCAATACAAATTCTAGGACATAACTTGAAGACAGTAGAACTATGTACAGAAGATGAGGTAATCAGTCCCTCAACATAGGAGCAGGTGCGAAGAGCACCATAGTCGTGGAGATTCTGAAGCAGAAGAAAGGATCCTGGCGCTTATATAGTAACGTCAGGTGTAGCAGACGAGGGCATATTCACTGGTAGGCGGGATTCCCCAGTGGAAGTAGGTCCTTCCCAAAGAGATGGGTTAGTTGTAGTAGTAGCTGTCGTAGTCGTGAAGGTTATGTACATGTCCTCAGAATTAAGATTCCATGATGTTTCACGACTACGACAACTACTACTACAACTAACCCATTTCTTTGGGAAGGACCTACTTCCACTGGGGAATCCCGCCTACCAGTGAATATGCCCTCGTCTGCTACACCTGACGTTACTATATAAGCACCAGGATCCTTTCTTCTGCTTCAGAATCTCCACGACTATGGTGCTCTTCGCACCTGCTCCTAGGTTGAGGGACTGATTACCTCATCTTCTGTACATAGTTCTACTGTCTTCAAGTTATGTCCTAGAATTTGTATTGATAAAGCCACTGGATGGCGAAACGTCTACAATAAAGATACCCAGATGTTGCACATGTGTCTTAATCTCATCTTGTCGGTATTATATACCATTCGTACACATTTATGAATTTAGAAAAGGCATATGATAGAGTGGATAGAGGAGCAATGTGGCAGATGTTGCAAGTATATGGAATAGGTGGTAAGTTACTAAATGCTGTAAAGAGCTTTTATGAGGATAGTGAGGCTCAGGTTAGGGTGTGTAGAAGAGAGGGAGAATACTTCCCGGTAAAAGTAGGTCTTAGACAGGGAAGTGTAATGTCACCATGGTTGTTTAATATATTTATAGATGGGGTTGTAAAAGAAGTAAATGCTAGGGTGTTCGGGAGAGGGGTGGGATTAAATTATGGGGAATCAAATTCAAAATGGGAATTGACACAGTTACTTTTTGCTGATGATACTGTGCTTATGGGAGATTCTAAAGAAAAACTGCAAAGGTTAGTGGATGAGTTTGAGAATGTGTGTAAAGGTAGAAAGTTGAAAGTGAACAGAGAAAAGAGTAAGGTGATGAGGGTATCAAATGATTTAGATAAAGAAAAATTGGATATCAAATTGGGGAGGAGGAGTATGGAAGAAGTGAATGTTTTCAGATACTTGGGAGTTGACGTGTCGGCGGATGGATTTATGAAGGATGAGGTTAATCATAGAATTGATGAAGGAAAAAAGGTGAGTGGTGCGTTGAGGTATATGTGGAGTCAAAAAACGTTATCTATGGAGGCAAAGAAGGGAATGTATGAAAGTATAGTAGTGCCAAAACTCTTATATGGATGTGAAGCTTGGGTGGTAAATGCAGCAGCGAGGAGACGGTTGGAGGCAGTGGAGATGTCCTGTCTAAGGGCAATGTGTGGTGTAAATATTATGCAGAAAATTCGGAGTGTGGAAATTAGGAGAAGGTGTGGAGTTAATAAAAGCATTAGTCAGAGGGCAGTAGAGGGGTTGTTGAGGTGGTTTGGTCATTTAGAGAGAATGGATCAAAGTAGAATGACATGGAAAGCATATAAATCTATAGGGGAAGGAAGGAGGGGTAGGGGTTGTCCTCGAAAGGGTTGGAAAGAGGGCGTAAAGGTTTTGTGGGCGAGGGGCTTGGACTTCCAGCAAGCGTGCACGAGCGTGTTAGATAGGAGTGAATGGAGACGAATGATACTTGGGACCTGATGATCTGTTGGAGTGTGAGCAGGGTAATATTTAGTGAAGGGATTCAGGGAAACAGGTTATTTTCATATAGTCGGACTTGAGTCCTGGAAATGGAAAGTACAAAGCCTGCACTTTAAAGGAGGGGTTTGGGATATTGGCAGTTTGGAGGGATATGTTGTGTATCTTTATACGTATATGCTTCTAAACTGTTGTATTCTGAGCACCTCTGCAAAAGCAGTGATAATGTGTGAGTGTGGTGAAAGTATTGAATGATGATGAAAGTATTTTCTTTTTGGGGATTTTCTTTCTTTTTTGGTTCACCCTGCCTCGGTGGGAGACGGCCGACTTGTTGAAAAAAAAAAAATGTATAGGTAGTAGGTTGGTAGACAGCAACCGCCCAGGGAGGTACTACCGTCCTGCCAAGTGAGTGTAAAACAAAAGCCTGTAATTGTTTTACATGATGGTAGGATTGCTGGTGTCTTTTGTCTGTCTCATAAATATGCAAGATTACAGGTATGTCTTGCTACTTCTACTTACACTTACGTCACACTACACATACATGTACACGTTTATTTATACACACTCATCTGAGTTTTCTTTGATTTTATCTTAATAGTTCTTGGTCTTATTACTTTTCCTTTTATATCCATGGGGAAGTGGAATAAGAATCTTTCCTCCGTAAGCCATGCGTGTTGTAAAAGTCAACTAAAATGCCGGGAACAATGAACTAGTAAACCCTTTTCCTGTAAAGATTACTAAAAAGAATAAGAAGAAAATTGTCAAAGTGGAAGTCTGAATGTGTGTGGATATTGTGCAAATGATAAGAGAGAGATGAATGTGGATGTTATGAATGAGAAGAAGCTGGATGTCCTGGCTTTAAGTGAAACAAAGCTGAAGGGGGTGGGAGAGTTTCAGTGGAGAGGAATAAATGGGATTAGGTCAGGGGTTTCAAATAGAGTTAGAGCTAAAGAAGGAGTAGCAATAATGTTGAAGGATAAGCTATGGCAGGAAAAGAGGGACTATAAATGTATTAATTCAAGGATTATGTGGAGTAAAATAAAGGTTGGATGTGAAAAGTGGGTTATAGTAAGCATATATGCACCTGGAGAAGAGAAAAGTGTAGACGAGAGAGAGAGATTTTGGGAAATGTTGAGTGAATGTGTGGGGAGTTTTGAACCAAGTGTGAGAGTACTTGTGGTTGGGGATTTCAATGCTAAAGTAGGTAAAAATGTTATGGAGGGAGTAGTAGGCAAATCTGGAGTGCCAGGGGTAAATGTAAATGGGGAGCCTTTATTTGAGCTATATGTAGAAAGAGATTTGGTAATAAGTAATACATATTTTATGAAAAAGAGGATAAATAAATATACAAGGTATGATGTAGCACGTAATGAAAGTAGTTTGTTAGATTATATATTGGTGGATAAAAGGTTGATGGGTAGGCTCCAGGATGTACATGTTTAGAGAGGGGCAACTGATATATCAGATCATTATTTAGTTGTAGCTACAGTTAGAGTAAGAGGTAGATGGTACAAGCGGAAGGTGGCAACAACGAGTAAGAGAGAGGTGAAAGTGTATAAACTAAGGGAGGAGGAGGAAGTTTGGGTGAGATATAAGCGACTATTGGCAGAAAGGTGGGCTAGTGCAAAGATGAGTAGTGGGGGGGGGGGTTGAAGAGGGCTGGATGAGTTTTAAAAATGCAGTATTAGAATGTGGGGCAGAAGTTTGTGGTTGTAGGAGGGTGGGGGCAGGAGGAAAGAGGAGTGATTGGTGGAATGATGAAGTAAAGGGTGTGATAAAAGAGAAAAAGTTAGCTTATGAGAGGTTTTTACAAAGCAGAAGTGTTATAAGAAGAGCAGAGTACAGTGGACCCCCGCATAGCGAACGCCTTGCATAGCGAACAATCCGCATAGCGAACGCTTTGTTCGCCAAAATTTTGCCCCGCATAGTGGACAAAAACCCGCTCAGCGACCTTCGTCCGAGACGCGTCCATTGTTTACCAGCCAGCCTCCGCGGTAACATTCAAGCATACACTCGGAATATTTCGTATTATTACAGTGTTTTCGGTGCTGTTTCTGGAAAATAAGTGACCATGGGCCCCAAGAAAGCTTCTAGTGCCAACCCTGTGGTAAAAAGGGTGAGAATTAGTATGGAAATTAAGAAAGATTTTGAAGGGTTTGGGGCTAACCCTGAGAAGCCTATGCCAGTTGTGGAATCCATTGTGCCTACTTCAAAAATTAAGGAAATGTGTGCACAGTGGGTTGAACTGCAAACCTTTATGGATGAAAATCACCCTGACACAGCTGTTGCAAGCCGTGCTGGTGACTATTTCAATGACAATGTTATGGCCCATTTTAGACAAATCGTAAAGGAACGGGAGGTACAGAGCTCTATGGACAGATTTGTTTGTGCGACAGAGGTCCAGTGACTCTGAAGCGGGTTTCCTAGTGGCATTAAAAGAAGAAGGGAAGTAACCCCGGAAAAGGACTTGCTACCTCAAGTCCTAATGGAAGGGGATTCCCCTTCTAAACACTAACACTCTCTCTCCCCTCCTCCCATCCCATCAATCTCACCAGATCTTCAATAAAAGTAAGTGTCAATGTAATTGTGCATGCCTTTTTCAGTTTGTGTGTACTAAAATTAACATTTTCTTGTGGTAAAAAAAATTTTTTTTCATACTTTTGGGTGTCTTGCACGGATTAATTTTATTTCCATTATTTC